TGTTTCAGTGGATCTCAGTCTGACCTCCATATCTGCTGAACAAACTTCATTTAGTAAATTATCCATTTACAGAACTGAATTAAGTTCCTTAGCTAGAATCTATCTTAACCTGCACAATGAGGAAAATATCAATACTATTTTCCTGATTTAACAGTTTGTGCATTTTTCAGATAAAGACATTGAAATATTTCACATGATGTCATTTAAAAGAGTTTGACATGAGGCTGTGTGAAGCTTCACTTAGTACCTGAGTTTTCAGACTTCAGGTCTCCCAGCTGTTTCTCACTGACCACGAGCCTGCTCTCCAACTCTGGAGAAGAAAAACAAAAATTAGAAAGCGGCCCTTCTGGGAATGCGACTGGATCCTGCAGTTTCAGACTGAAATCTTCAGGGTGAGCTTGAGACCTTCACCGTGTTACCGGGGTTTAATCTGGGTATCATTGTGAAATGTTCATGCTTGACATCGTGCTATCTTTCCACCATTTACATTCACTGATGAACTGGGAAACATAAGCTTTAACTGACTGTCTGAATGATAGATTAATTTACTGACTGCTACTGAATTTAGATTGTCCTGGGAGCTCTGGTCAAATAAAAACATTAATAATGAAATAGACGTCAAGTGGTACCTGAGTTTTCTGTCTTTAGGTCTTCCAGTAGTTTCTCCTTCTCTCCCAGTCTGAGGTCCATGGCTGAAATGGAGATAATTCATATTCATTCAATGCTTTCACCATTAAAAGGAAACTGAAGTGTTTATGATGGTACCTGCAGTGTCAGTCCCCAGCTGTTCCAGCTGTGTTTCAGTGGATCTCAATCTGACCTCCATATCTGCTGAACAAACTTGATTTAATGAATAATCCATTTACTGAGCTGAATTAAGCTCGGCATCTAGAAATCTATTGTAACCTGCACAATGAGGAAAATATCTAATGCTAATTGACAATGTTAAGATACCTGCAGTGCTGTTGAGTTTGTCAGTCAGTCTGGACTCCATCGAGGAAAGATGAGCTGAAAGCACACCATAAAGACTTTTGGCACGCATCGCTCACCATTTGGTTATTTGCTACTGTACTAATTCAGTTACCTGTTGTTTCCATCTGCACCTCCAGCAGCTGATGTCCAGCAGCACTCAGTCTGTCCTGAAGTTGATTCACCACATCAGTCTGAGCTGAAAACAGTAACATGTAAGCGATACATAATTGTTAATATCTACTGATTGGACATGTCAGTTCCTTTCCCAGTCGTGATCAGGCCCTTCCGACTAACGCTTCATTCCATTAGCTGCTCAATCCACCTGATTCACCAGATGTGCCT